TTTTCCCTTCCTATTTTCATTCATCCAGGTAACAGATAACTCTTCATGTGACCGGCATAATGATGATGAGATGTTAGTATAAGATGATGATGGTAATTAAAAAAAAGAAATCAGTTAATGTGAAATTTCATCTCTCTCTCACTTATTTTCATGTGTCAATATGAGTAGATGGTCAAAGTGAATGGTCAGGAATTTAATTTTCATATGAATTTATCTCATATTGTGATTTTTTTTACTCCTATTCCTCTGTTTGGTTGACACATTTTTCACCATCATCATGATGATCATCATCATCATCCTTCAGAACTTTTTTTGTTATCTCTCTCTCCTTTTTTTCATGGTAACAAAAATGGAAAAATAAACTCACCAGAATTTATCATGATGATGTTAAGTAAATAATCATTAATGTCCAGTAATATACGTTGAATTGAGGATGAATTCAGCAAAAAGGTAATTATTGAGCATGATAATAGTTACACTTAATGATTAAATATTAATCTTGTTAAAAGATGAACATTCAATTGTCTTGGAGGAGAAGAAAATTTTCACCCAACATTTCATGATAATGATCATTAAATTTCACATTTTCTATTAGTATAATTGGATAATTGTTCTGAAAAGATGAGCTTATTGTTTCAACGAGTTAATTGGAAGACAATAAAGAAATTATCTTCCCAAAGTAAATTGAATGGTCATCGTATCCATACACAATTAAATTGGTCAATTCTTAAGGTGTGGACAATCAGGATAATTAAATTGTTCTCAACACTTTGTTGTTTTGTTTTCTCTTTGATAACATTTTAAATTTTATTATTAGTAATTAATCATAATTAATTGATTGGCTTTAATATTTTTTTTTTTGCTTGTTGTTATTGTTGTTCATTCATTTCTTAATTGAAAACAATTTAAATTTAATAATAAAAATGTTTTAATAACTTTTTTGTTTCTTTCTTAATCATTATTGATCATTGTTGTTGTTTTTTTAAATGTGAGCTGATTTTGGTTGATTGTTTTTTGTTCATTGACAAAAAGTTTTGCTAAAATTTTGGTTCAATTAATTATTATTATTTTGTTTGATTCAATGATGATCATCAATGGTGTTGGTCACAGTTTTTTTGTATATATGATATGGTCAGTTTGGTTTTGGGATGAAGATGAAGATGAAGATGATGATGTTGATGGATGATAATAGAGTTGATACAAGGGAGATTGTTGGTTCCAAGAAACCAAAATAAAGGAAACATTGTTGACATTCAATGAGAGAGAGAGAGAAACAAAAAAACAGAGGATAAAAGAAAGAGGATGAGGAAGATAAACCAAGGGAGAGAGAGAGAGAGAGGACAATGTGATGACGATTTGATTGTTCATTTGGTTTTGTTTTTGCAGTTTGTATTTGGATGATGATTGGTCAAGGTTGATTTTGTAATTATATCGTATCATTTGTTTAATATTGTTTTTTTTCATATCAATATGATACAACATATGAATATATGTATATATAATAATAGAAGTAGTAATATTAATAATAATAATAATGATAATGCAATAACGAGAGAGAAAGAGTGAGGGAGGAAGGGAGGGAGAAAGAGAGAGAGAGTCAAAGGTAGATTGAGGTGGGTTTCGAGGCGGAAGTGGGTGGAGGTGGGTAAGGTAAGGATGTAGGGATGAGGATTGAGAGGGAAAACTGATTGAGTTTAAGTCCAGGGTCAACAACTTAATTATTTGTTTCATATTTATAATCATAATAATAATTATCATTAAAATTAACGTTATATATTATTATCATTATATTATTGCTAAAAATTGTTCATTATTATCTGTGTTTTGGTTTTATCATCATCATTATTATTAATTTTTTGGTTTTGCATTAAAATTGTTTGATAACTTTTTTTTTGTTTTTTTCTCATCAATTTTTCACAAAATTTCATCATTTCATTCAAAGTTTTAGTTGTTGTTCCGTTTTTTGTTTTTCTTTTGCTTCTTTCTTGTTATTTAACTACTATTATCATTATTATTATTATCATATTGTTGTTGTTGTTGATGATGATGATGATTATTATCATTATTATTATTATTATTACAGGTATCGCCAGTGGGAGGGTTGAACAAGAGCGGGAGAATAGAAAATATTAGTCATCGGATTAGGTAGAATGGGAAATGGGGAGGGTAATGAACAATCTTCCGTTTGACAAAGAACTGCTAGCGATGGGTGTGACGCTGGAACTGGTGGTGATGATTTTTGCTTAGGTTTGCTAACCTTTGTGTTACTCCGTGCAAATTCAAGGCGAATCGTTTGCGGCAGGTCAGGGTCAAAACGGACACCAGACTGAGTGTTTTTATTATTAATATTATATGTGTTTATTGTGGGTGAGAGAGAGAGAGATAGAGAGTGAGTGTGTTGTTGTTGTTTTTTTAAATAGCATTAGTATTTTGTGATTTGAGTTGAGTTTCATATTTTATATATGTTAGATGTTCATGAGTTGATTAGTGGTGAGATTACAGGTAAGTTGGTGGTAGTGGTGATGGTGGTGGTGGTGGTGGTTTTTGGGATTTATGGAGGTAAAAAATGAGTAGAAAAGAAAAAGACAATTTGTTGGCAACGAATAATAATATATATTTATAAAGAATAAGGTTCGAGGATTAATTATGATGAGAAAAAAAAAGTGAAACTTACCTGAAGATCTTGTTTTGCAGCTTCAGCTCCTGCACGAGTTGAAAATGTTACAAATCCGACAGGCTTTAGATGTTGACGAGGTTTCATAATGATGGAAGATGAAGAGATGATGATGTTGATGATGTTGAATTTTGCAAAGAGTTGATTGCAAAAAGATGATGAGCACAAGAAAAAAAAAGAAGAAGAAGAAAAAAAAAGTAGGTAAAAGGTAAAATTGATGATACTTGTGATAAAGCAAAGAGCAAAACCAAAAAGGGATGAAAAGAAGAAGATAAAAAAATCGTATAAAAGGTAAGATGAAGATGATGATGAGAGATGAGGATGAAACAGAGAGAGAGAGAGAGAGAGAGAGAGAGAGAAAATGATGATGATGATAAAAAAGACTGTAAAGGAAGTTGAGTGAGACTTACCGATGATGTTTTTCCATTTTTGCTTGTTACTTTTAACAAAGATCCTTCATATCCCTGGAATGATGTTGATAACAAACAAACAACATCATTGTGAGCATGATGATGATGATGGAGAGATGAAGAGATGAGAGAAAGGAAAATGTTAGGTAAGCCAGGTAGGTAAAAGGTAAAGTTAGAGTAAGAGGAGCAGTGGAAAAGGTAAGAAACACAGGTAACATTTTACCTTATAGGCTCTGAAGAGTAGATAAAGTTCTCGAGGCTTTGCATCCATTGGAAGGCCACTGACAAATAATGTTCGTACCTGAGGTTGGAACATGATGAAGTTGAAGAAAAAAGTAAACGAAAGCAAAAAGAAATATACAAGAAATGGTATAAAAGTAGAAGAGAAATGAAAGAATATCAAAGGGAAGGATAGAATGAGTGAGAGAGAGAGAGAGAGAGAGAAAGAAAGAGATGTAAAGAAGAGTTATGTTCGAAAAACGAATATAAAGAAATAAAAGAAATAAAAACTAATATCGTAAAGATTTTCGAGTGTAGGTGAGAGAGGGAGAGAGAAAAGAAATTAACAGAAATATTATCAACTCACCTCTTCTTCAGGCACATTATTGACTGAATCCATACTCTGGCTTAAAGTCATTGAGAAGAGTGAAGAAACAATTTTCTTTGGTTCGAAATCAACAGATAGTAATAAGATTTAATTGAGAACCGATGGTTTCCGAGGTAAATTGTAAATGGCATATTCTCAGTCGAGGAGTTTGTTACTTTTCCTCTTCTCTTTTCATCTTCTTCTTTCGCACTTTCGCCGACAGACAAAGGTAATTCTCTTTCTTTCCCTATTATATTTCGACTTTCAAATGCCATCTATTGGATAACATTAGTAACAGTTACAGTAAAAGAAATGAACAAACAATCAACTAAATTACTTTGGCCCATTGAGAATAAACCTAAACTTATACAACTTTCAGGTGATTGGATTGATTAATTGAAAGATAATCGTTTGATTGGGAATTTATCATTTCGATTTCGATTATTTCGATTATTTCGATTGGTGAAACTTTCGAGTTGCACATCAATTGCACAAGAACAATTTACTCTCAATTACAAGTAAATTGTATCGATAATTTTGGTGTCGAATTTGATTTTGCTGAATTGTTTGTTTTCATCATTCTCATTTTTACTCCCTTTATTCAGAATTTCAATATATTATATTTCTTGAAATTACTCCTCCCTTTTTTTTCATGTTACATGGGAGAAAATGGTGAATTCTGAATATATATACACATTATCAGGTGAACTTAATTCAGGGGAGGAAAAGATAAGTTGGAAAGTCATGATAAGTACCTCATGTTATCTGTGTTATAATAATAATAAGATGAAAATCAAGTAAATGTTGAATTTCAACTGAATATCATGTAGATGATGATGATGATGATGATGATGAGGATGAGGATGAGGATAAGGAGGAGAAGCAAAAAAAGTTCTGTGTAACATTATCTATATATAAATATATTTACTGTCTAAATTTACCACTCTTAGAATAACCTCAATTCATATCGATTTCAGTTCTGGGAAATTCAGGTGAATCTGTGGAGACAGTGCAATAGTTAATCATGATGAAAATTCACCAACTCAACTTATCATTTGTCCAATTCAACAAATTCACTCACTAAATTGAACAATTGGATTCATTTATAATCTCTGGTCAATCTTAATCCTTTTTGTTCCCTCTCTCTCTCTCTCTCTCTCCTTATTTAATCTTCCACTTAATCCCCAAAGAAAAAGAAAAAAAAAATTTCGAATTTCGAAAAAAAAGATAACAACTTCCATCTAGTGGATAAAATTACTACTACTTTTATCGTATTCGCGATTGAAATTAAGTAACAATTAATTCTTGTTATTTTTTTGTTTTTGTTTTTAATAGAAAATTTTTAATCTAGAAAAAATAATTAAATTTCTAGTAATTTAAATTACATGAGCATAGATGATATAATCATTAATCATTTGGAAACTGAATTAAATTCTGTTCAAAATTAAACTGAAAAGGTACAAAAAAAGTTTGATAAGTTTTAATTAATTGTATTAATTATGTTTTGCTTTAAATCATATTGTCAAACATGTTGGTTAATCCATTTGAGAGTTAATCATATGGATTTACAATTAAGATTGAGGTAGTTAATGGTTTGGATTAAGAGATGAAAAAGAGTTGACATTTCAACAATTAGCAAATATTAATTAATTGTTGTGTCTAAATTTGATTTCATTAGTCTGATGGAAGCTCTCATATAATTGATCAAATCTTGATTGTTGGCAAATTGTGACAAATTTTTATTTCCTGTTGACCATAATGTTAATTGATTTAATTTGCTAATTAAAGTTTCAGCTAATTAAACAGTTGATTCAAATTTCGGGCTTCCAGAAGTGATTATATTGACACGAGAGTTTTTTTGAAACTCAATCTTTGCATATTCAATCCGTTCAGGGTGATTAACAATCTGATTGGTGGTGTTATTATTATTTGTCACATTTAAATTGTTATTATTGTTGTTCAAATTGTTAATGTTATTATTTGAAGATGTAACTTGATTTAAACGACCTCCGGGCAACGGGAAAATGACCTGATGGGAAGATAGTTTAGCATTCAATGGTCCACCTCCAGGGAATGCAAGCTCAGCATATTCAACGATATTATTGCCATTTGATTGATCCAAATCCTCCGAATATCCTGTAATAAGATAGAAAGTGAGAGAGAGAAATGAATAAAGTTTATTATTACAAAGAAAAAGAATTGATAACAAAAAAATAGTTGCAATTTCGTCCTCAAGATGGCACTAAGAGTAACCTTTAATTTCGTTAATTATATTCAATGAGAATCTTTTTTCTTTTTGATTATTAAATTAAATTAACAAATTTAATGGTTCGATTGTTAAAGTCAAATGTTTACCAAGTTTGAAAGTCACGAAAAAGTTTAACCAAATCTCAGTTTTTGCCCCATTTCCTTTAATTTTTGCCTTTCCTTTTCCTCTTAAATTGGTTGACATGCAAGGGTAACAATTAATTTCAATTTCCAGTCACTAATCTAATATCAAATTAATCATCATGATTAACCATTGGTCAAGAGTTACTATCAAATCTCAAGAATCAGTGTTAATTGTGTTAATCAAAAGTGACAATAAACTTTTATCTTTAACCTTTACAACTAAATCTAAGTTTTATTTATTTTCTCTCTCTCTCTCTCTCTAATCACAATTTATTAATTATATAATTTTCTTCAGTCATAATTATTGAAATGAATAAATTTCCACTCTTCTAGTTATCATGTCGTGACCTGAGGTCAAAAAGGGGAAGTAAACTTTTCGGTTAAATATATTCTCAAGCAATTAATTGTATTCTCTGTGTGTCTTTTTAACTTTTTTTTTTTCATTAATTATTAATTTAATCATGTCCAAAGTCATCAGTGATGATTAAAGTACAGTCTCTTGTCAAAACTAAAGCTTCACCAAGTATCCACTTAATGGTTAATTTATAATTACTTATCTCTCATTAATTAATTGATCGCAACCTTTAACATGATTGTAACAATTTAAGTTTTGCTTTTTTTTGTCTCATTCACTTATATTCAATCAATTATAAATAATCAACCTCAATCAAGATTAATAGGAAAAGGTCAATACATTAATTTGATTGATTATTGATCATTGATTATCCTCATCATCTTGATTACCAATTGATTTGTTTCAATAATAAAAATATCCATCGGTAAACAACAGATCAATAATTAAATTGTTACCAACTTTAACCTCTTAATTACAACGATTAATAAAATATTATTGAAGAAACAAAAAACTTTTATCGAAAATGTTTTGAGATAAAAATGAAGAAAAAAAGTTCAGAACTTTTTTTTTTTTGATCAATCGTTATTCTTGAATTGATTGTTTTCTTTACATTTAATAGCAATTAACCAAACGAAAGATAATTTAACTTTTAACAATTAGAGTTTCAAATTATTCCTTGAGACATATATCACCATGTAAATGAAACTCTGAAGTTCAGAACTTTTGTTTTTTTTAATGAGATAATAATGTAATAATCAATAAATTGTTTCTCTAATATTATTATTAAACCATACTAACATTTAAACATAATTACTTTTGATTATAATCAACGTTGATTAAACATCTCATTGTCTTTATTTTAATCAACATGATTGTTGTTAATTCTGTCAGATACATAAAATAGTCTCTTCAGCATTCATGGTGTGTATATAAATTCAGTTTCATGGGAATGATTGAAATTTTATTTGTTATCCAAACAAGATGAACATGAAAGTGGAAATATTTTCAAATTAAATGATTAAAACAAAGTATCACAATTTAGCTGATTAGCTAATTTAATTTAATTGTTTCTCCAAAGGTCAACTCAAGGGTTATTCAACTGACCCACTAATCACTTTCACCAGAACTTTGTTATCGAGATTAACCTGATCATTTCCCTTCTCTCTCTCTCTCTCTCTCTCTCTCTCTCAATACAATTAAACCTCTTGATTAACCTGAGAAACTTAAAAGGTAAATATAATAATGATGATAGATTAAATTTCACCTTATTATCTTCCAATGGATTAACTCAATTGTAACATATTATTAGTTAGAGAAAGTTTTTTTTCCTTCCTCCAGTAATCGGATTAACCTTGAACTCTCAATGATATAAGTACTTATTGAGAATCCCGATAAAGGATGGAGATAAAAATTCAATTATTAACACATCAAATTCAACTAATAATAATTGGCTTATATTATATTTCATAAGCGATAACAATTAATCAATAGGAATTCAATTCAATTTTTTCCCCTCCAATTTTTCAAATTTATTAATTATTCCAACTAATTGCTTTCAATCTGATCCATTTAGTTAATATCTCAATAGGTAACACACCAAATAGAAATCAAGTTTCAATCTCTGTTGTTATATTTTTTTTTCTCGTTGTTATTATCATGAAATCTACAAGCAATTAACGTGCAATTTAATGTGATCAATGATTAAAGTGTTTCGTGTGGATGTAACAACTTTTTTCATACATATTCCACCCTCTCACTCTCTCATCCACCCACTCCCATCATTATCACCATTCAATTTTTCATATCTACAGCTTCATCTTCCTCCTCTTCTCACCCTGATCATGTTAGTGAGTGAGAACAAAAAAAATGGCTCATGAAATGGATTTTCTTGAATGAGAATATACTGAAAAAAAAACATATAATCAAGTGAACTTAATTCAGGGGAGGATAATGATGAGGAAAAGTCATCATCATGAATACCTTTTCATTGATAACAATGTGATCTATTTTATATGATGATAAGATTTTCAATAAGATTGAAACTCAATGAAACTCAGCTAAAGATCATGTTGCTGTTCATGATGATGATGATGATTGTATGGATGAAGAAAAGTTCCTATGTAAATATTAAATTCTTACTGAATATAATCAGAGGATCGTTATTGACAATCAGCTATTTACTGACACTCAGTATTTATCTTAATGATGATAATTCAATGCTTACCATAAGCTAGAAATTGTTTCTCCATATTTCCTCTTCCTTCTTCACCTCCATTTCCGCCTCCTGCTTGATAACCAATTGAAGGTATAATATCAGGTGGACCTTTTTCTGAATTGAAATTATCATAACCACCAAGTTGACCCTCGTTATTATTATTAGTACCATTGTCATTTGGTGATTCATTAATCCGGTGTAGTTGAACATTTGATTGCCTTTGATTGTGTTGATTAAGATGAGAGTTAGGATGATGATGATGATTAGCATTGGGCAGGGAGGATTGGTGATGATGATGATGATAAGAAAGATGATGATGATCATTATTATGAGAATGATTAACATTACCAGATATTAATAGTGATTCAGAAATTGTATTATCACAGTAACAATCATCATCATCATCACGAAACATGATTGCATTATTAGTGGTTAGTCCATTAGTTGATGACAAATGATTTAGATGATGAGTTGCATTTGATGATTGTGAAGTGAGTGTTAATAATTCCGGTTGGACAATAGAGGAACCGGAAATCCGCTCTGTAACACTCATATTATCATCTCCACCTCTACCATTACCACCATTGGCTACTTTTCCACCTTCAACTTTCCCTGAACCCCTTGAATTATCACCATTGACCAAAATATTTCGTCGAAGACGGAAAATGGCCACAATACCAAGGAAAACGGTACCACAAACGGTAATGATACCACCGATGAGAAGTATTAACAACAAGGGTATTCCTCTGAGTAAAGTGACCCCATCATCAACCGATAATCCAAATGGCGATGCAGCCGAAGATGAACTTTTCTTTAATCCCTCATTTGTGGTTCCACCAACACGTAAACCATTAACACCCACACTTGACCCACCTCCAATCCCACTGGTTGAACCATAATCACCTAATCCAATATCAGCAAAACTATCGACCAACTTTTCCGCTGACCTTAAAGTTGACCCTTCCAATGTAATCTTATCACTACGGCCAAATGAATTAACTGCATAAATATTGATACTGAATAAAGTTGATGATTCCAATGAGGTTATGAAAAATTCAATTGGCCGTGAAAATGATTCAATCATTTCCAGTGGATCAGCTGTATCACCAAGCTCAGGTGAACTGGTAAGGAAATTAATTGATGATGATGTTGATGATGATAACGGTAATTCATTTGATCTAGATGATGATCCAACATTAGCTTTACCACTAAAATAATAACCTGAATTTGTATTGGTTACATTGGAAACAAGGATTTGGTCATTTTTTGTATAAACTTCAGCAAAATAAATTGTCCTCGGATGAACAGTTATACTATTTGATTGTTGCCCAGATGATGATGATGATGATGATGATGATATGTTTGTGTCCATTACAGATGATGATGAAGTTATTTCTGTTATTATTGATGATGATGATGTTGTTGATGATAAGTTTGAGTATAAAGAGGACGGTGTTAAGGCATCATCATTTTTAAGGCTATTTGAACCCAGAAATTGAGCATTATTGTTATTATTAATTGTTGGAGTGATTAATTTACCGATGAAGATACAGCTTATTAAAAGTGAATCATCTGATTGATTAACTATTTTACAGTTATAAGGAAACTCTGGTGGCACTGGGAGTTAATTGTGATAGAAAGTGAAAAAGTCAACAATTAATGAGCGGAATAAAAATTAACAAAAACAACAACAACAACAAAGTAAATTGTGATTAATTAATTAACAGGTAACATGAATATAAATACAATCATAATATATTTACCTGCTGGTTTAATTAAAAATTTACAGGGGCTACGTTGTAATCCAATATCATTTTTGGCTATACAATAAACGATACCATAATCATCGGATGAATTAACAGTATATATAAGATCAGAACTGATTGTTGAGTTAATTGTTATGGTTAATTAGTGGACCAGAAAATGAGAAATTTGAAAAAGCAAAAAGAAAATATAATTTGTTTAATTTACTTTTAATTCAATTGAGACCACAAAGGTCAATAGGTAATAATGTAGAGGGTAAAAAAACAAATTGGTTCGTTGGTATTGGTCAAGCAAAATGTAAAATAATATTTGTAAAGTTTTTCCTCATTCATGGATTTCATTCAACTGATAAATCACAATCATCATCATGAATTTTAGGACTGAATTTCATGTGATAAACTTTGAATTGATTATACATGTATAATAATAATAGTAATGATCATTGTACTAATAATGAGGTGAACAAAAAAAAGAAGAGGAAAGATTCAACTTGAGGGATAGAAACGGAAAACGGAAATAGATAATGATATGTAATTTTGTTTGAATATAATTGAATTTATATATTATAATATGTATACATACAATTTTCCCTTTGATTGTATTGAGCTGCTCAAAGGATCAGATTTATCCTGGAATCGCCATTGGAATGAAACTTTCTCAGGATTTGCTTCAACGTAACAACGAAGCACAGCCGATTCATGTAAGGCAAGTCCATAAGTTAATCTGGTCAATGGTCAAAACGATAAATAATATATAAGAGGAAAGGTCAGAGAATTTGATATTCGATAAAATTTTTTTTTTCTTTCTCTCTTTCCAAACGCGTAATAATAGCAAATCAGATTGTATCGAGTTGATTATGGATATTGAAGGTAAGACAATTAAAGGTTAAATTGTAGTTGTAATTGGAATCGTTGAAATTGCCTTCGAGTATAAAAGTCTAACTAACAACAAGGAAATGAGTCAATATTATTAACATGGGAAATGAATTCAAAGGTTTTACTAGACTTAATCAAATTAGATTAGTTGATAAAACTACCTTGTTAACTTAACTTTTACTCTAATTTTTTTTTTCTTATTCTCAGTTGATTTGTATTCTTATTATCATCAGATTATTATGTTTACCGTTATGTTATCATACAGATCAAAAAATACATATAATAAGGGTGCTAATCATGTAGATGATTAAAAATAATGATATTCAGAGTAAAGATTTGAGTTTTGAATTTTGTATTTTTTTTTCTCATTGATTGTTCCTTAATTGTTACTACTACTACTTGTTTCCGTTTCCCTGATCCCTTGATTGTTTGTGTGTGTGTATATGAATTTTATATCAATTAGATTTCATTGATTACAGTTAAATGTCATAAGGATTTTGATTGATTTTTATGCTCTTCATCAACATCAACCTCATTTGTGTGGATATGTGTATATGTGTGTGTTGAACATGTGTTGATATCATTATTGATAAACATTGGTCAATATTGATCAATATAATTGACAGTTTACTTGAACGATTAAGTGTCAACTTGATTGTTTCTGTCTAATGATTGATTGTTGATGGTAATCATGATGAAGAAAGATCAGACTTTTACTCTATCGGACAAATTGATGGTTATTATATTTCATGATTTTCTTGAATACTTTTACAATAATAGTTACATGTAACTGAATCTCAACTCTGCCGATCTGATGTAAGACCAAGTAAATTGTAAACAATCAACAAACTGATTTATCAAATTGAAATTGTTTCAAGTGAACTTGTTATTTACTTTTTTTGTTGTTTACTCATCAAATTGATGATCATGAAAAGTTATCAACATCATGACGATAATATTAATGAATTAATTGACTATGAAGATAATTGTGTCTATGGTAATTTATCAAAAACATTTTGTTCATGTAATTTTTTACTTTACTGTAAATACACATCGTATATGCATCTAACTTACAGGGTGAGGAAAAAAATTGAAATGAAAAATTTTTCGCATTTTTTTGGATTAACAATCAACAAACATGAACTGAACGGTTGAACCTCTTGAATTCATGATACATTTTAGTCTGAAATTCATGATTTGAATTTATAATCAACATGATTTATTTTCAATTACACCTTTTCCATATATGTATTAATACAATATGAGTATTAATTTGATTGATTGTGGCTAAAGGCAGTTGCAAGATTAATTCCAACAATAATCTAATCGGAATGTTTTTTGATGAAGAAAAAACTTTTCTCTCTTTGTTTTTATTCCTAATTCTCGTTGGGGATTATCGTAGGTAAAGGTTTTCGTTTTCGTAGAGAAAAAAGAAAAGTTTTATCAATGAACTTACATGAAACTGTAAAGGCAAACAGGAGCAAATCGAATCTCGAGATTAATTTCATTTGATATTCCAGTTCCCTGGGAATTTGTAACGATACACTGATAGAGACCATTTTGTTGACGAGAAACTTTTTGCAAAACCAAACTTTGATTACTCTGAATGATTCCTGGAAATGATAATATTCACAGAGTTGGAAGAAGATGAGAAATAATAAAAAAATATTGCAAGAAATGAGATAAAATTAGCATATATAATACATGCTGATGGTGATGATGATTATGATAATGGTCATCGTCATTATCAGGATCATTATCATGGTGGAAATTTTGACTCATTGACTTTATTGTGGCTGTGAAGGTGGGATTTTGGTAACGTCAAAAACAGGTAAGTAGGAATAATTTTTTTCATCTTATTCTCACTCTTTCATTTAGTTCATTCATAGGTTTCATGGTGATCACACTGGAGACTAACTAATATCTACATGTTGAAATGCTCAGAGGGCTTATGGATAACAGCTCAATAACAATCAATCAGATTTCAATGGTTCAATGGTTGTACCTTTTTTTTCACCATGAAAATTTGCATAGCCAGTGGAAAGGGGAACTACTATTATTGAAATAGCCTTGCCCATGAAAAAAAAACTGTTTAACTTCATGTAATAGTTCAAGTATATCTCAGAATTATTCATGCACAGGGAGGAATTTTCAATAATCATATGACCATTGAACCAAAATTCTGTAATGGTAATCCTCTTTTTCTCTGTCTATCTCTCTTTCTTTTTATATTTCTCATTCTCTGACATTTCATTTTCTTTTCATTTCGCGTTTTCCCCTTTCCTCCTATTCATTGTCCATTCATTTCCTCATTCAAATTCTGTCATGGTGAAGTAACACTGAGAATATAAAAAAAAATATCTCAGCCTCCAAGGTAACACAATGAATCGTTGGTTGATATGACCAAACATCATGGTACTCATGGAATCATCATCATTATTTTCAAACCTATGATGGTGATGATGATGATGATGATCACCATGAGAAGTGAATAAAATTTTCTTTCAGGAAAAGGATGAGGATGAGAAGGATTTTCGTTTAAAGAAAATGACAAACACTAAATTGTGATTTACAGAAAGCAAAGGAATATGTTTCATGAGAGACTATCCTCTCTTTTCATCATGGAATCAGAATGGAAACTCATAATATTATTGTATGAATTTTTCTTTCTCTTTATGCCTGTCTATCTCTCTCTCTCTCTCTCTCTCACCCTTCTATCATTTACCAAAATACTATCATTCCAATTCTCTCATAGAACATATTCTATTTGAACTGAACATTTCCATGGTGAAATGAATGCTTAAGACTCACATGAATACAAGATGAGAAAAAAAGAGAATGACAAAAGAGAATGGGAGTAGAAAAAAATTCACTTCATCATCTCTAAGCTATCATCATCCTCTCATCTTCATCTTCACCATCATCATAATGATCTTCATCTCCTTTCCAGAACTCATCCCATTGTTGTTTTCACCCAAACAGCTGAACAATAATGATAACAGGTGAGTTCGTAAAGGTGAAAGATTAACGTCACAACCAGAATCCAAAACAGAATCGACAATATAAAGGTAAAAATATGATGAACACGATAAAAAAAAGGTAAAAAGTTACACTCTCAATGAAGATAATGAAGAATAGAGAAAGAGATAAAAAAAATAACTGAAGATTCTTCATGAACTTTTTTTCTCATCAAGCAGAGAATCCGGAAACGGATGTTATCCATTGTTAACGGTTTTTCTTTCTCAGGATAGAACTTTTTTCTTCTTCTTCTTCTTTCTTTCCTTTTCTTTTAAATCTTAAAAGTTATCTATTTATTTTTCTTCTCTTTTTTTCTTCTCCCACCTTCACCATAAACATCATCTTCATCTTCATCTTCATCTTGATCATGAAAAGTAAATGATATGATTGAATCGTGTATTGAGTTGACATGGTTACTGAGTCAACACTAAACTGAATAAATTGAATGAAAATTTGAGATGATAAATTTATTATCATCTGAATCAATTGTGAGGAAGAAAACAATTTCCATTCAACTAATAACACTATTACTGTCACTGTTATTACTGAATTAAAATCAAATGGTGTGTCAATCACCATGAAGATGAAGAAGGCGAAAAAAAAAATAAAATGAAAATAAAAGGGGGATCAGGTTCAGAGAGATTCTGATAAATATCATGAAGAAACATTTTCATGATATAATAATAAATGAAATGATAGGGAACACACTCAAATTTCAATCAATTGTGAAGATGAAATCTACCACCAGTAGAACCATGATGATGATGATGATGCAAATACACCGAGAAAATAGTTGACATTTTACAACAAAAAGAAAGAAAAGAACAAAAAATCAATCGGAAAAAGGGTTAACTGAAATTCCAAATGAAATTACATGATAATTTCATGATTATCTCTCTATTTCTTGGTGAATATTTTGTTACACTCAACAACAAATTGACAACAATGTTACAAGAGAAACAGATTCATGGTGATGATTCTGATAATCATTTCAAGTGGCAATTGTTTGAGTACATAAACTACAATCAGATCAATAATGACGATGATAAATATCACAATGAAAAATATTGTCCTGAGTTATTATTAGTTAAACTATTATTAAATTGTTTGTTTGAACATATGAAGATACAAAACCTGAGGGATTAGTACAAAAAAAAGGGATTACTCGTCTTGAGGATTGGAAGATATGAACAAAGGATTAAGACAATTTCATGTCATGTCAGGCGAATGATTATCAATAGACAATTAGAGTTATTTATATATTTTTTTCGGTCTCAATTCTGTGTTGAAATCTGCTCTTTTTATTTGCTTTTCTTTTTCTTCCTTCGTGGATTATCATGATTGGAGAGAAAAAAGAAAAGAAAAACTTATATTATCAAGTAGTATTCCAAGAATTACCTTTGCTTCAGGTAAGTGAACCAAGTTTCTTGCTCCAGGCGATTTATGACAATTGACCATTGGACTTTTAATATACTACATGGAGAATTTCATCTTAATGTGTTCAGTTGATTATCATTCTTTAGGTTGATCATGTTCACAGGTTAACCTCATTGTCTTTGATTATAAATACTGAGACAAATTCTTGTCATTGTTTTCTTTTCGTTCAGTCAAATTGTGCAATATTTCAGGTAAAAGATGATGATGATGTAAATGAATCTTTTCAAAATTTTCCCTGAATCATCAGACTTTTCTTTCTATCTCATCTTGTTTCATCATTATCATCATCAGATGAATTGTTTATCTCTTTACCTTTGTTACCTTTTGTCCTTTCATGTGACAGGTAATTCACCTCAAGAATAATAAGTTTCCTACTAATCTTACTTTTCATCATTATCGTTGAGAGATAACTCAGAATTCAGAGCACGATAAGAATGGAGAAAAAATTGTTTCAGTGCAAGAGCTGAACCAGCAGGGTAACAGATGATTATAATGATTAAGGAATCAGAATAATCAGAAAAGTTCACTAAAAAAAAGAGTAACCACAAAATCACCTGAATATCACCAAGTTTAAGTCTCGGTCTTTTTGTTAATCTTATCCCATTTCATCCTTAAGATATTATCATCTTGAAGATATTAATAATATGAGATTTATATTTACGAGTTTAATTAATCAACTTATTAAAGTAAATTAAAACTCTAATGAGGATAATTAGTTGGTTAAAGCTGCGATTATATAGCCAATCAATTATAATCCAATTAAAAAGTTACCTCATTATCAATTCTATTACTTTTAAGATTAAGATTATAATAAAATGAGATTGCAATCTAGAAATGATTATAATCAAATCAATTGATGGAAATTGTGTTTCCCAAATTTGATTAAATATTTTCAGGGTAAATTTCAGGTAAAAGGCGATAAATGAATGCGGATCAATATAAATTTACCTCTTTAAATAAGTTCAATCTTAATGTTCATGAATGAATTTCATCTGAACTCCCTGTAATTACTTGGAATCCATATTATCTCTCTCTCTCTCTCTCTCAGTCTTTATGTTATTTTCTTGGAAAATAATGTATTGATATCCAGCTGATTCGGATCTTATTTCTATTAAACTCATTGTCTCTCAATTCTCATTGTATTTAACCATCAGACTCTCATCTTCATGCCCATGATATTTTCACTCAGTTTCATTCAGTTCCATAAGTATTCCTGGTTTAATCTCATTTCATTTTTATAGCTTTTGCTAATGAGTGGACATCGTAATTTATATATATATACATACATAACAGGCAATTCACTTAACCTGAACACACCCTGGTCATCATCATCACCATATGATTTATATATTTATTCATTAATAAATTTCACTTGAAATCACATTTCTGGTTGTAAATGAAAAACAAAAGTTGCCTTTTCAATGAGTGTATTTGTGTTGATATCCTACGAGTAATAAATATTAATTTGATTACAATTAACTTACACGGATGAAAGGTAAACATACATAAAATGTTTATAACAATCAACATGAAAACAGAGGATAAAAGTTAATAAATCAAAATGTAATTCCAACTCTTAATCTCTATTCAGTTAATCCATTCACGGAATAAAAGAGAAGAGAGAGAGAGAGAGAGAGAGAGAGAGAGAGAGAGAGACATGAACTCATTAATCTATTATAAGGGACACTCAGAATTAGAGTAATTAAAGTCTAGACTTTGATTGATCATTTCACCGAAATTTAGTTTTATCAAATTGTAATTAGTGATTCATATTCATCAATAGTATGGAAAATTAATTTGAAAGGTTTCATCAAAATTTACATTACATTTGAATGGTAATTGTATCATAAATTATTCTTGATGAATGAAAGAAGCTAAACAAAAATTGATGATACAATAAATCACTGATTCTTAATCAGTGGGAGAAAAATATCTCTCAGTGCTGGAGTGTTTATCTGAATACTGTTTATCTATTGACCTGAGTATTATCATTAACCATTAAACATTAGCATTTGATGTTTACTTGATATCAATCAATTTGATAGTTTTCACGATCATGTAATTAAATCACATTGAAGATTAGGACTCGGTGAACCTGAAGCTGTGAGTAAAGTTTAGTTGATAGACTTAATAAAGTTACTATGGATGAAGAATCAGATGAAAAGGATGACGATCATGATGATGATGATGATGAGCATGAGAATGAACATTGAAAAGCAAAAGGTGAATGTAAAAGAACCCTTAAGGTAAGGGAAAAAAAGGAAGATGAGGATGAGGTGGTAAAGGTGGAATGAGGAAGTGGATGCAAAATACAAGGATAAAATAGAGAAGACAAGTTAACTTTCATCATCATCATCTCTCTCTCTCTCTCTTTCTCCATCCTCATCCAACATTTGAGATTGAGATTGAAAGTTAATTGCAAAGTCAAGGGATGGGTTAAAATTAGGTTTCTCTCTCCTTTGTGTGTATAATATATTGTTGTTACTTTTTCCCACCTCCAAAAACCCACTTCCCTTTAGTATTATGATGATGATTTTTTGCCTTTCACTCTCTCTCTCTCCCAGTTTATAACAATGACACAGGAAAATAAGAGCAAGTAGAAAGTAAAATTTACCTTGTTTAGGTGACAATTGATTGCCATTAAATCTCCATTGAACTGATTTTATTGGTTTAGGATTGGAATTTATTTTACAATCAAAGTAAACATCATTTCCTTCCTGAATTACTGTTGATGATGATGTTGGTGCACCAAATTCAAGTCTAACTTGAGGTTTATCTTTACATGAGAAAATTGAAAATAAAGAGTAAAATATCATAATAATAATGATAATAAACAAATAAACATGATAACCCCAGCGAAATGATCATAATGTGTAAATATAACATAACAAATAAGATAATCGTTATTACAATTTACCATGTTAATGATGAATTACCATGCAAAGTTTTTTTCCTTCATCTGAAAAGGTAATGATAAAGAAATGATAATAATAGTAAAGTAGTTGTAAAATTTTTCGTTCATTTTTTTTTCTTGATTTTCTACGTTGATTGTTGATTAAATTGAGCGACAAATTGTCTTACACAAATGATACATAATAATGAATGAAGTAAATGTCACATCAATTTAGGATTTTTTTTCCTCTTCTACTTTTTTACTCGATCCTTTAACATTGACATCATTTGAGAGAGAGAGACTCTATTACAATTTAGTTAATATCAATGAACATGCAAATTGTTGTAAAAAGAAAAAGTAAATTGCAAAAATCAGGTAATCAGATTGGCTAATATGTAATTGTTATTGTTCAGTTTCATGATGATCATCATCATGATAAGTAAATTGACTTGTGATCATTTGAATGATGGGATTTTCTTGTTTATCTTATTGTTTGAAAATGTTTCATTCTCATTGATTTAAATATTAATAATACTTACATTGAATATCTAATTGTAACTGATCAGTTATCTGGGAGTTTAATATTTTAGGATTTTCTGAAATACATGATAACATTGCACCGTTATGTGATTTATTTACGTTAATTGTTATCCGACTGGTAACCACTTGATCTCCTGATAATTAGTAATTGTCACAATTAACAAGAAAAACAGTAAAAAAAAAGATTCAATTAATTAATCAGGTTGATTCTCTCTCTCTCACTTTTTTATATTACACAATTAACTTAATCAATTGACAGTTACACACACAACTACTATGACTATTACTACATGTTTTGATTGATTGTTTCAATTGTTTTAGTTTGTGAATTGTGTGTTTGTTGTTAATTTATCGGGTTAATTAATTGTATAATTATTTTTTGACAATCTAAACACAATTACCTGATACTCCAGTTGAATGTTTTTTACCATCAAAAAGCCAATAAATGTTTGGCTTTGGTCTTGATCCTATTGTTTTACATTCAAATGTTGCCTCTTTCAGGGAAACCAGAATCGGTGATAATTGAGTAATATGCACTTCGGTTGGTTTCACTGGATTTAGACAGACAGAATAATTAAATTACATTGTTATTAATTAATTTCCATCATCTTCATGATGTACACTTATTTAGTGTATAAGTATTAATATAATCAATCGGTTGACAAGTTGTTTGAATTATGATGAAAAGTTTTGTCAGACTTTACAAGAAATTTGAATAATAAAATGAATAAGGGAAAGTGAAAAGTTCTGGTTGAAATTCAGTCTCGTTAATTTATCTCAAATTTGAATATAACATATATATAAATATTTGAGAATATTTTCTCTCATTAAATTGTTGATCATTCATCATGAAATTTACTGATTGATAAATTAATCAACTCAAATGTTGACTCGACTGATAATTTGGTAAATTTGGTCTCATAATGTTGCATTGAAATTGGACAATTTTACAATTTGATTGTTTGGTCATTTGATTTATTGACCATTGTCACTTTTTACTCTGATTTGGTTGCACTGTTTTAATTACTTACAATTGAGCTCTAAGGTTATTGATGTAGCCAAGGGTATGGTCATATTATTGTTGACCGCTTGACAGGTTAATTTTGATAAAAGATGATGTCTTGATAAAGATGATATCGTCAGCTGATTTGTGGTCACTATTGATGATGCGTTTTTTTTTATTGATGGATCATCATTATCATCACGATAATGGGAATAAGCAAAGTGAAGGAATGATAATGATAAAGGAAAAGGAAAAGGATAAGAATAAAAAAAGGAAAAATATATTAACAGTTATCCAAAGATGTTACCGGGAAAAAAAGGTGAGACACAAAGTATCTTGAGGTGAACAAATTTTGAGTAAAATTTTGTTTTTTTCTTCTTGTTCTCATATTTTCTGGATGCGAAAACATCAACGACAAGGATTCTGATGGTGATAAAAAGAGATGAAGATAAGGCTCAATGGTGATAATGATGATGGTGGTGGAAAATGAGTTGAATGATGGAATAGGAAACACGATGTATCATGAGGAAAGAAAATGCCAAGAGATGAAAAATCTTGAAAGAAGGGGAGTAAAAGTGTTACTGTGATTCTGATGAAAGAGGGAAAAGATGAAAATCTATGACCAAAAAAGTCCCAAGATGAAAATTTTATCGAGAAAAAAATAGAAGAAAAATATTCTTTTTGCAACTTCATCCATCTTCCCTTTCCCTTCAATATCATCATCATCATCACCATCACCATCATCTTGCTGAGTCTCTTACTCCCTACGAGATAAAACTGTAAATGTTTGATATTTGTCGAAATCATTTATTATAAATACCACAGAAAAAAAAACGAGTTTCGAGTTTGAGATGAAGACCAAAATAATATCATCATTATCGTTTTTGATATTTTATTTTCTCACCAGAATATTGGTTATCATTTGTATTCAATGGGAACATTTACAAATTCGAGAAGAAAGAAAAAAGTTCTAAAGAAAATAAATAACAAAAATATTACTTACCTTCTTTGTCTGTATATTCAAATGTGTCATCTATTAATAAATTATCACGCCACCAGGTCAACGATGGTCGAGGTTTACCTGTTCAAAATGACCAATAGAAAATCAAATATGAGCAAAAAGAGAGGAAAAAGTTGACATGACAATCAGCTGATGTAATTGATAAAACGATCAACAATTAAGTTTCAACAATTGGACATTGGAGATGATTAATGATATTATTAGAATTTGGAGAAAAAGTTTTGGCCACTTTTATCAAATTGTTTCTGGTGATTTCATGATAATGATGAATACAAGTTCATGTCCATTCTCATTCTGAACTCAGCTACTTTTCCTAATAATTTGCTCCACTTAGTAAATATCATCTGAAACCTTTTTCCTCCTATGGGTAAGATATCATATCTATTTTATTGATGTGAATTCATGATTATTTATATTGATATCAGAAAAGGTTAAGACGATGTAAGCAAAGATAATACATATTCATCCTTGATCAAAGTTACATCAATATTTTTCTGTTCATTGTTGGATTAGAGAGAGAGAGAGAGAGATGAAAAGATGATGAAGATGAGAGGATGAAGATGGATAAATATGAGAACCCAAAAAGGCTATTTCACCCTTATGAAGATCCTCAGAGTATTCAAGTAGTAAATGTAAGAAGAAAGAGAAAGTGAGTGAAATGCCCACTGAACATTTTCATCATCTTCCAATATGAATACCCCACTTTCTGATAGGAATACACAATAATATGAATCTACGAATACAAGGTACAGTAAATAGATGGAGGAAAAAAAATGGACACAATTTTTGTATGTACGATAGAAAAGCTTTTGGGAAATAAAAATAGCCTCGGGCATTTCTATTGATCAGACACTCGGTTTCATCTCTAACATTTTCCATTCTGATATAACGATAAAATAAATGAAAATGAAAATATCAAGTATTAAAAGGATATAAAAGTGAGAGGGAAAAGTTGATTCTTACTTAAAATTTGGCTAAACTGAAAATCCTTTTTCTTTGTATGGTTCAGGTAAATGCAATTCTGAATAAAGTTCTGGAGATGATATCATGTTAACTTGTCTTTTCCTCGTTCTATCATATTATATGTTACACAATATCATTGTTGGAAGTTTTTGTTACAACAATAATGATGAAGGGTTTGGGATGAGGAAAACGAGATGATGATGATGATGATAATCTGATGACTTTCATGATGATCATCTGAATAATTAATCAACATTATCTGTACACAACTTACCTCTATCAATCACATTGAAAGTTATCATCAAACATCATCAGGATTCATTTTCATCTTCATTTTTATCACTTGACTTTTTCTTGACTTAACTGTCATAACTTTTTTTCTTTCATCATCATCATCATCATCCTCATCTTCCTATTGTTTATTTTCTTTTATTTCTCTTCTTTCATTCATGTTCTTTCTCATTTTCATCATCATGGCGGAGAGAGAGAGAGAGACATGTTTCTCTATGTGTTATTTATACTTATCCTTTATCTTTGTTCATCTTGTTGTTATTCAGTTGAATGTCAACTTGCATGATAATGATAAAGAATCACTTGGAATGATTAAATGATATGAGAGATGAATGTTCATCCTCATCATTTCCACCAATACATTATCTTAGGATTTTTCCTCTCTGTCTTATCCAGGTCTCTCGAGGCTATTCAGTTATCATCTGTGTCCCTTTTCCTGATCATCATCATCATCATGTTATTAGTAATCATTACATGATTTTAGTTTAATGTTCAAAGCCTCGTAACCATTATCATCATTATCTTCATAATCATTAAACTAATAGTAATATCAACGTTATTGGTATGATAATGTGTTTAAGGTGATTAATCAATAACAAAAAAAAGGGTTCATTTAAAATCAAAATCAACCAACTGATTTGTTGATCAAACTAAATTAACAGTTATAACTGTGATTATAATTTACCAATATTATTAGACAGCCTTTGCAACTAATCAATCAACCAATTAACATCTAAATTAATTCTTGAAACAGATGATCAACATCAGCATGATGTATTTTCACTTGATATCAAATTACTATCGGTTTTCAATTGATCAATAAGAGTAAATAATCAAATTGAAAGACATTTCTAGTAATTGGATTAACTTGATTTTTGACTCTTTTTTTATATCTTGATAACTTCTTCATCCTTAATCATCACCATGTTATTAGATAAATAATATCTAGGATAATAATAGTTATCATGAAAAGATTTCAATGTTCAACAATCTCGAATCCTCTTTTAACAGTTACTTTGTAAATATTACATGATATTTATATTAATTATCTTGATAATTGCAATTAATATCTTTAATAATGATCATCATGGTAATGGTTTGAAAGCTAATCAACAGATAGAGAGACTAATTATTTGGTTGAATTAATTTCTATCCACAGATTGGTAATAATAATTGTTCAATTATCACCTTTAACTTTTATCCTAATTTACTTGATGATAAAGTAATAACATTAGTCATGGTTATTATTATATTGATAATATTGTTATTCCTATTAACAGATACCTCAATTTTTGGTAATTGATGAGATGAGAGTGACAATGATAATATTCACCTATTGGAATGATAATATCATGAGTGATAATCAAACAAAATGAATTCGAATGTCACTTTCAATGTAATCGCAGATTCGAGTCATCGTCAAGCTTTAAGGCAGAAAAGGTAAAGGAGAAAAAAAGAGAGAAATATTCTAATCACCCTGAGGCATAATCTCACCTTAACGAGTAATAAGTAGGTTTTCGGGAACAAGATTAACAATACACTTGGATAATCATCAAGGTAAATTAAAGAAAGTTGATTAATTGTATTCTACTGATGTTAACATGATAATTTCAACAGGTAACTAAAGTGTTGGCTTGATTTGGTTACAATTTTAAATAATCCTAACGGTTATAATCCTGATTTTATTTGCTGATTTAATTGTTGACGTGAGTGATTTGTAATCTTGGTTGATTAAAGTGATTGATCAATTAGGATTTGGTTATTTGTATAATATTGCTTTGGATTAGGTTTGTGAACTTGAAAGTTTAACCTTGAAAAGGTTGAAACTACAAGATAATTATATGAAAAAAAAGTAAAGATTGTAAATCAAATGTCAAATTGAATCAAGATTTTATCAAATTAACTGTTTCTTTTCAGTTTGTGATTTGTTATTATTGCCAATAATCATTATTATTTTGAGATATGTTATTATCTAGAGTCAGATTAGATTAGTAAGAAATGGACAGATGACCAATTATATTTTTTATTGGATTAGATGAGCATGAAAACGGTTAACCTTTAGGTTAACATGATTTAGGTCAATTGGGTAATGATGATAAAACAGAGAGAGAGAGAGAGAGAGAGAGAGAGAGAGAGAGAGAGAGAGAGAGAGAGAGAGAGAGAGAGAGTAAATAATATTTTCGAGTTGTCGAGTTTATGAAACGAAAGGGAAAAAAGTCTGAAATCATTTTGCATCATAATTCTGTCATGAACTAAACGACTACGAGTGAAAAGTTCTTGATATTTATCAACACGGAGTTTTGTATCTAATATGTTCTATGATATTTACTGAATATCACGAGATGTCCAAGGTCATAATAAATCAAATTGACGAGTGAAGTTGAAGGGATTCAAGTCATTTACCGGTCAATCATTGACGGCACTTGGTGAGTAACGTGTTAAGAAGTTGAGAATCGTTCAGTCGGATTTTATTATGATCGAAATGGCCAGTTAGAAGAAGAAATTGAACTGTAAGTCTATTCTAGAAAGTTCACCAGTCTCCACCAAATTCTAGCCTATTATCGCCTTGATATTAGGTAAATTTCATTATCATCCAATACGAAAAAGGTCTTTGCTTATTTTTCAAATTTTCTCTATCAAAATTGATTATTATTAAACTGTCAAGATAATGATGATAAAGATACTTATTCTCATGTATTCCAACTTTGAGCGAAGTTAATTCTGAACTTTTTGATCCTTTCCTTTTCTTTTCTTTCATTTCATTATTTGGTTTCCAATAACAATCATGTTATTGGTTAATATCTTATTCAATTGTTGCTGCTATTTGGTTGATTTAAGATGGTCAAGAGTTTTACCAATCAATGGTCAAGAAATCAACTCAGAGACAGAGAGGGTTCAATATTTTATCTTCATCTGGTCATTGTAATAATAAGTATATGGTATTTGAGTCTGTGTGACAATCAAAACTAATCCACCTCAACAAATGAACTGAACTGAGCCAAGTAATCAATTGCTTGGAGGCTTATTACTTTTTTTACGGTTACAATTAATTTCATCATCTCAGAATTAATCTTATACACACAAAAGTATTAGTATTAGTAAGAAGATGAGGATGATAAGAGAGTAAAAAATAAAGATGATGAGAAAATGGGATGAGGAAGAAAAAACGATTTGGATAACATTTGGTTTTCGTTTAATTAAAGGAAAACTTTTTAATACAATTAGTGTATCTTTCTGATCATCATGTTATCAATGAGAGAGGATGATGACGATGATGATGATGATGACAAGAAAAAATAAATAATAGTACAAATGTTTACCATTGTGTTTGTTTCAAGTAATCAAAGTGTATTAAAACTTTGTCAACAATCAGAAAGTTCAGTGAAATGAACAAACATTCATATCTTACCACACAGAAATTCACCCTGTTTCTATCATGAAGTAATTCAATTATAAGATTGATTTTTTTTTCTTTCAATTTGTTTGTTGAAATTTCTTCAAAAAAGTGTCGAAATGAAATCTTGTCAATCAGGAAACGATAATATCTCATGAGTTGTTTCATTCATTAAATGAATCAATTCAATTGTAAACTAGGTCTTAGTTTCATTTTGATCATTATCACATTGGTGATTGTGACAAAAAAAAACTACCGGAAAAGGAAATGTGATTATCTTACCTCCAATTGTTGTGCAAATGAGTTTAAGTGTATCCCCTTCATTATAAGGTCCAATTAAACCTTTAAGATTAATATCATCAGTGATTGATATTGTAGGCTCTTCCGGTGGAACTGAAATGAAAACCAAGAAATAATATTCAGTTAACTGAATTCATTCATGAAATCATGGGGGTGAAACAATAATCAAATAGTATTTATCATTAGTTGTAAAGGTAATTATCATTTGGATGTTTTTTTTTACTTCAGGTTAATATGAAAATAATATGAAAACAAAACTCGTTTTGAGAAAAACAAAATATCAAACTGAATATATGAATGAATTGAAATGAATACGATGGATACATTTTTATCATGTTATCTATCTGAATGAATGAATATACAATATTATGTTTCCATGATAAAATGGATACATTTTGTTTGATTTTTTCTCGCAACCTTTATCTCAATTCCGAATCACAATTTATCTTTTATTTTTGTCTATCAACCATGATGATCATGGTGCAAGCAAAAACTATATAATATATGTTTGTCTCTCTCTCACTGAATTTGTAAATTCATTCATCTGCTGGTTGGTTGAATAATAATATTTTTCTTTACTCTGTCATCTTTTAACCATCATCATCATTATCATGTTGTTACCTTGACTTTTACTCTGGTATTGAAGGAGAAAAATTCAGTTGCAAGAGTTTCAAGTCTCAAGAGTAATTAACATAATTGATGTTATCCATGATCATCATGAGCGGGTTACGAAAAAGGGTCCATGAGATTAACGATAAATCATTTTTACATCTAAACCTATTTATCCCTTTTACTGAATATCAACAACTTTTTTCATTCTCTCAACCCCCTTCCTCATGAACTTATCAAATTCTTTGACACTTTTTCTCATTCAGAATCAGTTAAATAATCTGATTTACGAATCTCAATCGAATAGATTATGTTCACGAATTTATTCTTAACTTTTGTTCTTATTTCTTTGCTCTCTCTCTCTCTCTTTCCAATGGTCATTTTTTCTCTCTCTCTCTATTTTTTCCTCGCTGCTGCTTCTTTCTTGGACTTGTGACCATTGATACTTGAATTCATTTTCTTCTTGTAATTTTACTCAGATGATTTTTAGGCTTGTTTTTGTTTTTTTCTCGTGACTGAATACATGGATTTATAAGTGAAATGGGTTCAGTTTTCATGATAGCTTTACATGATCCTTTTGTTCAAAGCAAATGATTTCTTTGTCAATGTTTATCTGTCTGTCTCAATGAAATCGATGTGCATTCAATGAACTTTTTTTTTCTTTCATCACAATTTCTATCCTCAATCTTATTTCTTATTTCACCCTGTATTTCTGACTACTTGTTCATTCTTATTGAATGATTTTCTTGCTCTCTCTCTCTCTCTCTCTCTCTCTCTCTCTCTCTTCTCATCCTCTCCTCTCTGTGAATTTATCTTCACATCCAAAATGGAGCAAAGATAAAAGTTTCATCTAATTTTCAGGGTGAAATTGTCATGCAAGTTTCATCTCTCTCATTTTCAAACATTTCCGTCATTTCCATATGCAATGATAAACTGAATTTCCAATTGATTCTGATCTGTAAAGAGCAATTTAATTTGATTGCTGATTGATTTATCACGAAACCCAAATTGTTCATTTCTCTGGAAATTACAGTTTTACTCATTTTGATTTTCAATTCATCGGATTATCCTAAATGATTATTAACTTTTATTCATCTACTTATAACTCTAATCTACTAATTTGATTGATATCATTTAATGAATTTAATTGTATCATTGGAGAGGGGAAAGAGACACTGTTCAAATCAATATAATCTCAAATATTTTGTCATTTAACATATCCATTTATCAATCAGTTTTCCTGTTTAATTGGATCCAATCTGAATCGATGTGATGCAAAAAAAATCAACAAGTTTTTTTTTCGACTCAATTGTCCATTATCTCAGAGGAATCCGTATATTTCAGCATCATTTCCGTTTCCGGAAATGGGAAAACATTCAGAATAATGGAAAGAATCAAGAGAAGACAAAAAAAAGATTCAACATGAGAATTGAAGGGAAAATTGTAATGGTCATCATGCTGACAGAGTGACCACTAATGTTTAACAGTGATACAATTAGTTTAATGTATTAGCTTCTCCTTTTTTTACTCATCCAGATTCAATTAAATTGTCAAGTGGTCAATGTCCATCTAACTAGTGACCAGATAATGATAACATGATTTAATGTCCATATAATGATAATGTTAATATCCAATGAAAAGGGCTAATTGAATTGTAATTAAAATTTTTCACTTTCTACTCGAATCGAATTGATTTAAATTGTTATCACAATTAAAAATTACATTGTATTAACTTACCGATTACTTTTAAACTAATTACAGTATTGATTGTCCGAGCTTTTTTGAAGTCAACTCGACATCGATATTCACCAGAATCGGATAAACGAACTGGATCAATCTTTAAAAAAGCAGGTCGATTATGAAGGTTAAAAAAGGCTCGACCTGGAGAGAGACACATTTTTAATCATCAAGTGCCAGGGGAAGATAATTGCGATGGTAATCATTCATCATGGTGGTCATCACGAAAATCATGGTCAATAACATTTAGAGAGCATATTGATTGTTATGTTTTTTTTACATATCATTGACATGATTCATGTGACAGGTCATTTATCCATGAGGTTGATGTAATGAGTAAGAAAAATGGTCAAGGAAAAGTTTGTATGAGGATCAACCGAAGATGAAAATGGTGATAGAGAGAGAGAGAGAGAGAGAGAGAGAGAGAGATGATGATGATGAGGAAGATAAGATAAAGAGAAAAGGTAGAATAAGGAAAAGAAATAAGGAAGATAAGTATTAAGAGTCGTGTTAAAAGGAGAGAGAGAGAGAAATGATGATGAAGACAAAGTAAGAGATTGACGAGAATTGATGTTGGTATGAAATAAAGATGAAGGACAAATGGGAAAAAGAGAAGGAAGATAAGAGAGTAAATGAGAGAGAGAGAGTAAGATGATGGAGATAATATTGTTTATCTCTCTGTGTTCATGTTGTTTGTTGTGATGGAAATGATGATGAGGGTGAGATTAAATGAAAGGTGTAAATGGTTTGACAAACCCTCAAACTCATTTCTTTTCCCTTCCTTCTCCATCATCCTCATCTTCTTGTTACTCACTCACCTCATCTCTCTCTCTCTCTCTCTCTCTCTCTCTCTCTCTCTCTCTCTCTCTCTCAGTTAAATCCAAATTTTGTGAACTCGCTTTGATATTTATATTGTTTATTTATGTTACAGAGGTATCATTATCAAACCTCGACATCCTTTGCATCATCCTTATCTTCAGTGTATCACTTTGATATAAAACTCATTTTTCTCAATTAATGGACTCGATTGGACTGAATCAAGTAATCAGACAAAACTTTTATATCTCTATATTTTCATCATTTACTATCATCATCCAACTCCCATCACATCTTTTACTTTTATCATCATCATCATCTCTCTCTCTATCTTCATCTTCCCTCCTCCCAGTCAATCCCTTTTGATATCACCATCATTTTGATAATAACAGTACTTACCTTGAAGTACAGGCGCGGTCAAAGTTCGTGCTTGATCCAATGTACCTAAAGATTAACAAAAATTGAGAACAAGAATAATTTTATCATTATCATGTCGAAAAAGGCAAAAAATATATAATATTATCATCTTGATAATGATAATTTTTCAAGTTGATATTTTCATCTCAAGATCATCATCATCATCAATGAGACAACACATGTTAACTGTATAAAAACTCAATCATTTTGAATCAAAGTTTTCCAACATTAAATGAATCAGAACTTTTTCTCTCTCTCATCTCGATAAAAATTTTCCTCATACTTACTAATGATGTTAAATCGTTTCCATAAAAGTTTTCTGAGCATTCTCATGATATTTAAACTCCTACACATTTATGAGCATCTTACATGATAAGTAAACTTGAATTTACAATTAAATCTTAATTTGCCGGAAACAAATGAATGATCAGCTGATACACTCGATTAAATAACATGAAAACTCAGGAAAAACTTAATAAATTACCTAAAAGAAAAAAGTTTCCAGTTCACAATTTAAAATCATTATCGAGAGACTTGATTCTGTTTACATTATCATCATCATCATAATAATCATCCCTATCATCATTAACATCCTCATCATCTCAAGAGAGACGTTATCATGATAAAATTGATGAGAATGAAGAAAAAAAAATTTCTTTTCTTCCATGGAAACTCAATGACGTTTTTAAATACATTGTACCCTGTGTAACCATCATCATCATGGATGAAAATAGTTTAATCTCTCTCTCTCTCTCAATGAGAATATATAACAATATAGAATGAGGAAAAAAACGATGACGATGAAAAATCATGATAACGATAAATATCATCATGAAAATGAATGAAACTTGTCAACAGATAACAGGGGAAATTGGATATACAATAAAAAGGCCCGAGCAAAGGTAACAAGATAATCGTTTGAGTTTCCCATTGATACTGCCAATCATGTATTAAATTATATTCTGACTTAATAATAGTCAATAAAAAGTGATGAGATTATTATCAGAAAAGGTGGAAAATTTAAATTCAACACCATCGGAATTTATTCTCATGATAGTAATCATAATAATAATCATTTTCATCATCCAAATGATCTGATTTACTGATTGAGAAGATGAAGATTATCAAGAAAATATAACAAAATCTCAGAATCTAAGAAACAGAAATGAAAATTACACTCAGGTATCAACAATAATGTCTAACATCATATCACATCATTATACAAGATCACAGGTAAACCTTATAAGTGATGTCAAGGATATTCAGTAGCAAACATTTCGCTTGCTCATCTTTTTTTTTTCGTTCTCTTTCTTGTTTCATCATAATGATAATGTTATCATTGCTCTCTCTCTCTCTCTCTCTCTCTCTCGTCTTTGTACAGGAAAATGGGATGAAGATGAAGAGAGAAAAATGTAAAAAGAAGATGACAATTTCTCTTTGTTTTTCTTTCCTTTTCTTTTTTTTTCCTTTGCCGTTGTGAGTTCTGATTCTGTTGTCATGATACATGAGACTTTAGTTTACAATATTCAATGAAACAAAAAGTGATATTCCATGTTCTTGTTGAGTAGGAAGATAAAGGTGAGATACTTGAGGACTGATGCCTAATGTTAAGAAAGAGAATCAGATGATGAGGATGAGGATGAAGAAGAAGAATGATGAAGATGAAAATGATAATGATGATGTTGGAAGATCTTCTTGACATAAGAAGAAAACAGAAGCAATTTAATGATGGTTCTCAATGGTAAAAACTAAAAGGTAGAATATATTTTTTTTTCTTTTCTCTTTCTTTTCCTCTTTCATGATGATTTTTTCTCCATCTTCACCTTGAATCGTTTGTGTATAAGTTTCCACTGACAAGGTAATCAGTTTCATCCACCAAGGTGGGTGAAAGTTTCTCTTCTCATTGTATTAAATACATTATATCATTTATCAGATTGATGTTAAGACAATAAGATAAACGATGAAAATTTGGTTCATATTATTATTATTATAATCATTTCCATGATAATGATCTCAGGAATAAGAATAATCATCAGGAAAAGTTGAGCGAAACTGTTCATCTCAGTGAATATCAATGCAAGTGGAAATTTTTTTCTTCCACCTCTGAAATTTTCATTCTCTCATTCAGAATATTCTGAAAATTTCTTCTCTCTCTCTCTCTCTTCTCATCTTTCCTATCTTCCACTTTTACTTCACCACCATCGCCCTCCTGATAACTGAACACATCATGTTAATGAATGTTTTTAGGTGTATGGTGTGTGTGTATGTGAGAGTATTTTAATAGCATCATGGACTTTATGACAAAAAAGAGAAGAAAAAAGTTTTTCTTATCAATCGAAAATGAAAAAGTTCCACTTGACTGGTCAGAACTTTTTCCATGACAATTTTCGTGAAAGAGAGAAAAAAAAGTTCCATTCTCGACAGTTTTTCTTCATCTGGAGATATCGACAACAGAGAAAGATGAAGATAAACGGAAGAGCAAACACAATATTGATGGATGAGCATCTTCATCTATGTCCACTCATCTCTTCCCCCTTTTTAGAACAATGTTCTAAAGATGATAATATAAAAATTCGAGGAAAAAAAACAAGATTTTATCTTCTTCTCTTCATTATATCGAAAATAATAATGCCGAAAATAAGATGAAAACTTTTCTCTATCAATAGTAAACTTTACCCTGTAAAGCAACACGAAATGTTATAACAATATAATATTGTATCAATATTTTTCTCGATAACAATCAAACTTAATCATAATCTTAATCATCGTTATTATCATTTTCACCTAATGAGAAATAGACATAAATTGAATTTTTTGTTTCTTTTTGTTTCTCTGATATTTCATCATCATATCAAGAATCATGTTCATCATGAATCGTTATCGAACTGATTTTGATTCTGATTCCATGAGATTGGAGTTTTTTTTCACTTCATCTTTGCCATTTCTCTCTCTCTCTCTCTCTCTCTCTCTCTCTCTCTCTCTCTCTCTCTCTAGTTTTTTGCTTCAATGTTAATAAATAGTTTTAAATCACTGTTCACATGTAATTGGCTAATTAAATTAATGGGTAACAATATAATTGTGTGAGTAACATGATGATGATGATAATGATTCAAGAATCTGATTTACAGGCAATGAAAACAATGGAAACAAAGAGAGCACATAAAAAAAACCAAAACCATTGATATTGATTCAAGTGTAAACTAAACCTAATCCTAACTGTAATTTCATGTGATTATCATGATCATTATTTACTGAATCAACTGTAAGGTGGGAATAGAAAAATATTTGTAATGATAATTTTGTTGCTTTTGTTTTTCCATCTTTTCTTACACCATAAACATGATAATATTTATATTGAACTTTTATCCATGGAAACTTTTTTTTTGTTTATCATGTTAAAACTTGAGCATCAACACCATTCCAGCTTAATTTGATCATGATGATTTGTTTTTCTTTTCTATCTTCAGGCTAATATAACCTTGTGATGATGATCATGAAGATAAAGATGAGGATAAGCATTATGATGATAGCATAACAGAAGAAAAAACGTCTTGAGAGAGAGAGAGTGAATATTACCTTGGATGGAAAATAATAATAATATAAAGTAGAGCTGAATGAGAATGGGAAAATTACGAAAAGATGATTTTTCTGTTCTTCCTTTCGAATGGAAAACTCATTTCACTTATCATGATGGTGAGAAGACCATGATGATGATGATGATTCTCTCTCTCTCTCACCCTGTCTTTTTTTTCATCTTGCAACTACTGTTATATGAAATCTATCAGTCATGTGATCCTTTTTAAATTGCTTTTGATGTTGGTGTAAGGAGGCGATTCTCAAATCGTGATTGATGTAATCTGATATCAAATGAAAATACCAAGAATGACGATCATGAAGATGATCAGTTTGATGATGATGATGAGAAAAAAGAAAGAGAAAGATAGAAAGTGAGTGGATGAAACAAGAGATGAAGATGAGGAAGACAATAGAGAGCGAGAGATCCTGACAAGAATTGGGAAAGAAAAGTTCAGAATAATTCAGTTGGTTCCATTTTCAATGTGAGTAACCTCAATCATCCATCAGAAATCACAGAATCAACCAGATGACAATGATGATGTGCATCTGTTCATTTTATCTTTTTCCTCATCATCACCAAGAATCATCTGAATAAAGTCACAGTAATTTCAAAGCTAATCCAATCAACCATAAAATCAGATACATTTAAGTTCATCATTTCAAACGATAATATAAAAAAAAACAACAACAACAAACAAGAACAAGACTAAACTTTCATGATAATATTATATTTTTGAAAATGGAAACAACAAAGTACAAGAATCAATTATTATTATTATTATCCAATTCTACTCAGAACTAAGATTATCATGGATTCACCATGATGGATGTCCCAAAAATGAATATTATCGATTGAGTATCGGTTTCGGCTTCTTCTCATCATCATGATATGAGATAGAAGCAAAGAAAAATCAAACCAAACAATCAAAGTAAAACATTGAAACAAAATAATCTTCCAATCAATAATCCACCACGACCATAATATTATAACCATCACCTCATGATGATTTATCAAATATAATCAAAATCAATTTGTGTAATTGAAAAGGATTGATGATGTTATTAATACTCAGAGCATATATAATATAATACAATAAATAGATGTATATTTATATGTACAATATTATAATACAATGTTGAGGGTGGTTAAGGGTTGACACAGTGAAGAGTTTGAGTTTAGTGTAACAAGCAAAATCCCCTCAAGGTGATTGTTTATTGTGAAAACATTTTGTTTATCGTTTTTATTTTTCTTGCTCATCTTGTAACTTGAAGATGGAGCAGAAAATTATTACATTTTCTTCAATCTATCAATCAAATTGTATTATTAACATGATAAACATTTTTATTGCATTTTCTGCAGCAAAACAATGTAATGAGGTTCATCTTTTATGCAAACAAATAAATATACAGGCAAAAAAAACGCAATCACAATCATACAGAGAAATGAAAAA